GAACTGGTAAGAAACAGGACCCAACCCGTAGCATGTAGCTAAGTGAAACACTGAAAAAACCAAACTCACTGCCATCAAGTCAGATCCTACTCATAGCAATCCCTCTTTGAGTTTCTGAGGCTGTATCACTACGGAAGTAGATTACCCAACCTTCCTTCCGAGGAGTGGCTGGTGGGTTTGAACCACCAGCCTTCTGGTTACCAGTCAAATGCCTTAGGCACTACACCACCAGAGCTCCTAAGTGAAACACCCATAGCTATTTGTATCTATTTCTTTAAAAGGTTACATATTGCACTATTTCTTGAACTACATTGGTCTCAGGGAGTGCTGGGGGTTCCTGTTGGACATACAGATTCCTGGGCTCCTCTCTAGATCTACTAGGTCAGAATCTCTGGAAATAAAGCCCCAAAGCCTGTTTTGCTCATAAGCTCCCTGTAACTCAGATGCCTGGAGTCAGGGGAGGTGTGGGCCTGGGAGGGTTAGCCAACCTCACCATTTCCAGGGTCCCTGATGGGACTCCCTTCTCTTTTCCCCTGCATCAAGCTTCTGGCATCCCCAGCCCAAAACTGGTTCTTCTGGGATTGAGGAGGTGAGGGCCTGACTTTGCGGATGTCCTCCTCCCTCTAGGGATCTAATCACACAGCCTGTCCCCAGCACTTGCCAGGAACTGGCAGTGTGGTCAGTCCTGCCGTGACCTGGGACACTCTCACCTTCTGAAATGGGACATCTCCAGCATGCACACTGAATCCCGGGGAGAAAGAGCAATAGGGAGCAAAGGCCTTATCCTTGCTGGCAGTGTCCCCCAGCCGGTTGTTGGAATGTGTGTGTTTGCATGGCAGGTGGCAGGCATATCCCATCCACACCCAGCAGGGGACAGGGGAAGGTCAGCTCTGGAACAGAGAATTGGGAGGAGGTTCTGGGAGGAGGTCAAGACAGCCAGGCTGGGTGGGGTTTGGGCCAGAATTTAGGACCTTGGAGACCCCAAGAGAGTAGAGGCACAGGCAGGGGGAGCTGGGGCAAGTCAAGAGTGTGGGAAGCCATCCCTGGGCCAGGTGCCTCTCTCTCCCTCTGGTGAGAACCACCTGAGGGCACCAGCTGACTGTAGATGCTGGCAGTGGGAATCTGGAAGAGGGGGGCAGACATCTGATTTTATAAGAAGCACCCCCATCCAGGTGATTCTCATGTAGGAGCACAAAAGGGACAGTGGCCTGCAACCAGCCTGGGGTGCCTGCTCTCAGCCTTCAGGGCAGGGCTTGGGTTGCTCCCTTTAGGAGCGTCTCATACTCAGGTCTCATGCTTCACTGTCCATGCACAGGCTGCCACCAACCAGCCATGCTCAGAGGTCAACACAACTTGTCTTTGGCTTTCAATAAAATTCACACAACATTAACCAGAGCCAGCATTTCCTGAGCACCTACCATGGGCCTGGTGCTGGGGACACGGACAGCGTTCAGTACTTAAAGCTTCCCGTGGTTTTTTGTTTTTTTGTAATAGATTTGTACAGAGATAATCCACACACCCTAGAATCCACCTATTTAAAGCATACAGTAGATTTGCATAGTTATGCAACCATCCACTCTAATTCCAAAACATTTTCATCATCCCCCAAAAAGCTCCATACCCATTAGCACTCATGCCCCGTCCTCCCCACCTCCCAGCCCCTGGCAACCATCAATCTACTCTCTGCTCTGTATGGACATTTCCTATAAATGGACTCATAGAATGTGCGGCCTTTTGTGTCTGGCTTCTTTCACTCAGCATGATGTTTTCAAGGCTCATCCATATGGTAATGTGTACCAGGACTTCATTCCTTTTATTCCATTATATGGATATACCACATTTTATTATCTGTTAATCAGCTGATGGACATTGAGTTGTTTCCACTTTTTGATCATGAATAATCCTGCTATGGTCACTCATGTGCAGGTTTTCATGAGGACTTAGAGTTGCTGATCATATGTTGCCCTTATGTTAGTTGCTGTGAAGGGGGCCCCAACTCAAGGCGAGCTTATGTACAACAGAACAAGACGCCCCCCTGCCCTGTGCCGTCCCCACGATCTTTGGTCTGTTTGAGTCTATTGTAACTATTGTATGAATCCATCTCTCTGTGGGTCTCTTTCATTTTCACTAACCCTCTACTTTACCAAGCATGATAATAACTCTATGTTAAACCTTTTGAAAAACTACCAGAGTATTTTCCAAAGGAGCTGCCCCATTTTACATCTTCCTGGTGGTGCAGTGGTAAAGTGCTTGGCTGTTAACCTGAAAGTTGGAGGTTCGAACCTACTAGCCACCCTACGGGAGAAAGATCTGGCAGTCTGCTGCCATGTAGTCTCGGAAACCCTATGGGGCAGTTTGTCTTATGGGGGCGCTACGAGTCAGAATCAACTTGATGGCAATGGGTTTTTCCTGCAGTGTTTGAGGTTCTGATCTCTTTGTCCTCAGTACTCATTGTCATTTTGATTGCAGCTATCCTAGCTGTATCTCATCTTGGTTTTAATTTGTTTTTCCCTGGGAGCATCCTATTTTACTAAAAAGGAAACTGGGGCTCAGGGAGATGAAAAGCCTTGCCCAAGGCTCTGTGATGAGACTAGACGGAGGCAGGATTCTAAGCCAGGTCCTTTCCTCTCCTCTAGACTGCCTTCCCAATGGAGCAAGAATTCCTCCAAGGAGACAGGGACCAGCCGCTCAGGTGAAAGACAAGACAGTCTGTTTCCATAAAGATTCACTGCCTGGAAGCCCTGTGGGGCAGTCCTACTCTGCCCTACAGGGTCACTGTGAGTTGGAATCAACTCACTGGCAGGCGTTTTGGTTTTAAGAGGGGAGGAAACACAGGTCTCTATGAGGATGAAATGAGATCCTGTATGGAAAGCCCTTTACTGGTGCTTGACACATAGTAGGCCCTCGGGACCCTTGAGAATTGTTATCACTCAAACTCGAACCTCTACCCTCTAGAATCTCCCAGAGGGACCTGGGTCTTCCAGGACCTGCCTTGTACTTGGACATTTATGGAGGAGACCACATCCTTTGAAAAAAGTCTGGCCACTGGCCCGAGAGGACCATAGGTCACAGACGAATCCAGCCCCAAGACACTTGGATTCTTCAACAGTTCCAGAGCCCTCCTGTGTCGTACCATTTTGTATCTGTGTCCTCATCCATCCACCCCTTCTCCAACCCACCCTTCTCTGAACCTGCTTCCTCGTTTGAAATTGAGTACAGTCCTGCCTTAGGGACTGCTGTGAGGGTCAGCACATGGCCCGGAGCCACAGTGAGTGCCCCACAGATGTCAGTCATCATCTCAACAGTTCCTGGTCCCTGCCCTAGAGAAACCTAGGCTGTAGGGAGGGACCTCGGACAGGTATATGCCCCACGACTGGTGTGACTGGTGCCTGCGATTTCTGCAGGACCAGCCAGCCACACTGACCTAAGAGCTCTGGACTGACATGCCTTCAGGCAGGACCTTGACAGATGGGACTCCTGCACTGGGATGAGCTGAGGAGAGGCCTGAGCCCAGAGCATGACAGAGGAGGTAGGGAGATGCTGAAGAGGTGGGGCTTCAGAGCTGGCAGAGTAGAACACATGGGCTTTGGGGCAAGGGAAATCCAAGTTCAATGCCTGTGTGACCTTGGGCAAGCTCTTTAACCTGTCAGCCTGTTTCTCCATTGTAATACAGGATGGTGAGCCTCCCAGGAGGAAATGAGGTCCCTGGAATAAAGTGGTTAAACCTCCAGCCTGGCAACTCCCCCCCGAGCTGCTCTTGCTTCTGTGCACCAGGAGAGACACGGAATACACAGAGCAGTGTTGTCAGCGGCAGCCCCCAGGCAGGAACACACTCTTGTCAACAGCAGAATGGACAGACTTGTTGATCAGTTGTGGGGTCCTCATACAGTGGAATATTATACAGCAACAAAAAGGAACAGATTACAGACAAATGCAACAACATGGTTGAATCTCACAAATACAATGCTGCATGAAAGGACACAGTGTAAATTCTTGCATATAAAGTTCAAGAAATAGACAAAACACAAATATATTAAGTCTACATATATATGTAGTCAAGCTATAAAAAGAGCATCATGAATGGGATTACCATAAAAGTCATGGTGATGATAGAGGAAGGGGGGTGGCATGATTGGGAAGACATTAGGACTGGGGGTGTTCTGTGCTGTGTTGGATTGGTGGTGGCTACACAGGTATTTGCTTTATAATTAATCACAAACCTGTGTAAACATGTTTGATGTCCTCTTGTATGGCATGATTATCTCAAAATCAAAAGAATAATTCAAGCCCCTGGTAATTGCATTGAAGCTGTACAAAAGCAGGTTTTCTTTTACCCTCTCGCTAGGTTCCCCACTCCTCAGCGCTTGTCTTCTGCACCCCAGAGACAGAGACCAAGAAGCCAGAAGATGCTGTGTGTAGGCTGGACAATCCTCCCTTCCTCTCCCTTCCCCTACCTTGCAACACCACACTTCCAGGCATCATGCCCCAGAAAGACACTGCCCAGAGGACCTTTTAAACTGCTTTATTCAGGTTGGCTGGTAGTCACAGATTGGATCATGTACACAGGGTAAACCAGACACCCCTAGGCAAAGTCCTCGGCCTCTCCCGTATCCCCCACTCCATTGCTGAGGGGTGGCCAGAGGCTTTAGCCAGTTCCAGTGGGGCGCTGGGCCCAATAGAAATATTAACAAATTGCCAGATGGCAGGTGTCCCCGATGGGGAATTGTGAGGAGGGTGGTATGGAGAACCTTGGCTCCCAACGGCCCCAGGCCCTTAGGTGGACTTAGCATAGGCTTCAAGAGGGGGCTGGGGCCTTGGGAACTGACAGAGGGGGGCTCCTAAGAGTCCTTGGAGAGGGGCCTGCTGGTGTCAAACTCTGTCTGGGGTGGTGGGTTCAGAGGGGAAGGGCTCTCCCTTCCAACCTGCTGTGTGCCGACAGTGAGGTTCCTGGTGCCCCATCTCCCCGGAGCCTGGAGCTGTTTCTTAGCTTTGAGGAGACCGAACACGAAGGAGTCACCAAGAGGCAGTGGGGCCCCTCCCCTTCCTCCCAGGGCCCCCGGAAGCGGTCCCACAGCCCCAGAGCAAGGCCCTCCTGGGGATGCTGTGTCCCAGTTTTTCCCAGAGAAGAGGGCCTACTTCTGCTCAAAAGAGTTAAGTCCACATTGGGGAGAAGGTTGCTCTGTCCACACCCTCAGGTCCAAGTGGGAGGTGGTAGGAAGGAGGGAGGTTACAGCTCGGAGGCCCCGGCTCAGGACAGGATAGGAGAGAAAAGCAAGCAAAGCGAGAGACACTGGACGTCACTGAAGCTGGTGACAGAATGGGGGCAGCCGGGCCTCGCACGGTCCCCTGCCCCAGCTTTCAGGGAGGTCACCCCCTTGTTCCCAGGGCCACCTTCTCAGAGCCGGGTCACTGCAAGGGTCTGAAAAGGAAGGGTTGGGAGGCTTACATGCTGAGCAAGGAGATGGGGAGTGGGGGGCAGAGGGCCAACGTGGTGGTCACAGGTGGTCTCGGGGAAGGGGAGGCGGCTGGACCCAGGCAGTCCCATCCCCGGCGGTCCAAAGGCTCCTCATGCACGCTGTACAGTGGGAGGGGCACAGGGCGGGCAGGTGGGCAGGGCGGGGCATCAGTCTAGAGGCTGCAGGCCTCCTCGTCCACAGAGCGCTTCCGCAGCTCCTTGCCAGGCTTCGGGGGCGGCGGGGCGGGTGCAGCAGGCGGGGCTTCTGGCAGGTGCAGGACGGAGTTCTCTCCTGGCTGCACCCGCAAGTAGGCCTTGACCTTGTGGTGCCGGGCCTTGCCGTCACTGAAGTCGATGACGCGGCACTCGTAGGTACCCTCGTCCGTGGGCTTCACCCGGGACAGGCGCAGCTTGTGGGAGATGTTGCTGCCCACCACCTTGACCACCTGGGGGCGACAGAGAGACTGTGACCTGTCCGTGGGGCAGCAGCAGGAAAATGGGGAGTCCCCGTTCGTAGGGCTGGGAGGAAGCTGGCCAGAGTATATAGCATTCTAGGATCTATTTTGCAACTTCCTGTGGATCTTACTTCTAAATTAAAAAAAAAAAAAAAAAATTTAAGGAAGTTGGATTTCTGGAAAATACTATGGTGGTGATGGCAGGATTTCACCTCCCCAACCCCCGGGCCCTTCTTGATTAAAGCTGAAATAAGCCCTGCCTCCCAAAGCCCCCATCCCAATTAGACGACATAGTGGAGATCAGTCCCCAGCTGCCAGCTGGGGACCCCTGGATTTGTTCCCTGACCTGGGCACTCATTGCCACAACAGGCTCCCAGGCCCCACTGGCCCCTCTTGGAGAGAACAGCTGGCCTGTACGTGCCAAGTCCCAATCCTGGAGGGGAAGCCCGCTTTGGCTGGGTCAGGGGTCCAGGAGGAGAAAGAAGACAAGAGGAGCATTCCTTCTGTGTTTCAGGGCCTGAGCTGGGCACCTGCATGTGGGATTTCTAACCACCTTACTACTAACCGGCTCTGGCCTTCCAGGCCTTTTGTGTTTTCTCCCAAATGCCAAGCTCTTTCTGATATCCCGGCCTTTGCGACACTGGTCTGTCTGCCGGGGTGCTGTTCCCCATCCCTGTTCACCTGGTTGCCTCCCCGTCATTGTCAAACACCACTTTCGATCGCCGACCCCGTCACAAATCCCTGTGTATTTCCTTCCTAGCAGTTGTCTCAGTTTGAATCCCTTAATTTAGCTTCTGTTGATTTGATTTTTTGTTTCTCTTCCTGGCTAAACTGTAACTTCCATAAGGATGCCTACTTTATAGATGGCAAAATTGAGGCTTCCAAGGAGTGACTTGATGGAAACACTGAGTCAGAGGGTGGCAGAGCTGGGGACCAAACCCAAGCCTGACTCCTTGCACTCGAACCCTCCACATGGTGTGACAGGCCCACAGAAGGTTGCACAGAGCTGGCAGACCCTTTGCCCCTGCAAACACAAGATGATTCCCCAGGCTTCAGAAGGGAAGAGGGCAGGTGGGCAGCAGCTGGAAGCCTGGCCCACCCTGCCTCACCTTGAGCCTTTCTGGGCTGGACACTATCCCCCACGAAGCAGGAAGACATGGACTTATCATACAGCAGGAGGGACCAAAGTGGGACACAGGCAGGACTTCCCAATAGCAGGCAGTGGGAAGCTCTTCCAGGTGCTTCTCTGGGTATGAAGGTGAGAACTGGGTGTCTTCTCCACCAGGTGCCAGGCCTGGGCCCAGCAGGAGGCCCTCCTGTCCTGCAACTCCATCACCTCAGACCAAGGGCACAGAGAGGTCCTGCCGTCCCACCAGGCTCTCGGGGCAGAGTTGGGAGATGCTGTTCCAAGTGCGCAGCAGGGAGTGAATTACCTTAACATCTGTTTCCCTCACGGATATTAATTATCCTTCATTTGTCAACCCTACAAGGCGCTAATGGAGTAATAATGTGAAGCGCTGGGAGCAGACTGGCTCCCAGGGAGGAAGCACCAGGCACAGTCCGCCCTTCCACCCATGCACCGCGCCCCCCCCCCCGGGCCTAGGGAGGTTGGTACAGGAAGAACCACCCTCCCATTGCCCAGATGGGGTCACAGGCCTGAGCTGCTCTCCCTAGGGACAGTCAGTTCCCCGCCAAGCCCCGTGGACCCCTCTGCCCCCAGGCCAGCCTCTCTACCAGCAAACCAGATGTCTCAGGGGGGAGGGGACAGGGAGAACCCAAGGGGGCATTGGGAGGCTGGGTTCTAACCCTGAAATGTCACCAGCTCCCTGGCCTTGGTGGTTTGGGGCTGGATTCATCCATTTATTCTACAAACATTTAGTGAGCGCCAACCGTAGGCTGGGCACTGGGGATACAGCTCTGAACAAGGGGATCCCATTACTGCCTGCAAAGGCTTACGGTCCAGGGAGAACCCAGACCCGAAACCAATGATCAAGCAACTCAGTGAGCTGCTTTCCAGTGGCAAGAAGGGCACTGATAAACATCAAACATCAGAATGGTGATGACAAACATCAGCTCCAGTGGTCTGTGTGCTAAGGCAAGTAACAAAAGCAGTACCAACAGTAGTAGTGATGCTGTTGGGTGATGTTTAGGGAGTCCAGATCACTGGGCAATACTGTGCAAAACATCACGAGTCTTATTTAAATTTCACACTACCCCACTCTTAAGGTACCCATTGTATGAGGCTCAAAGAAGTGAAGTGATTTGCCTAAGGCTGCCCAGCTGCTGACAGTCTCCCATGACCAGTAAACTAGAGGTCTGTATTCTCACCCCCTCCCACCTCCTTCTCCAGACCTCCAAACCCTGATGCCTTGGAATTACCCAACCTCCCCACCCCAGCTTCTTGGGGGTGGGGAGCAGACTGTTGGATTCCACTATTCACACATTGTGCAAAAAAACCTCTGCAGCCCAGCCCCCAGCTCGAGTGCACAGGCCGCCAAGAGAAGTGACCCCAGGCACGGCCCAGGCTGTAAATCATAATCACCAAGTGCAGGCATCGACAGGGCTTAGCAGTGCAATTAAGCACCTAATTATGCTGAAAGAGACAAGGCCAGTCCACGCCAGGATGAGGCTCGACCCCTCCCCACTCAGCTCCTGGCCCCGGGCAGGGGCACCTCGGCCAGCTGATGGTGGGCAGCCTGGGAACCTTTTCTCCCATTTGCGCCAGAAATAATGAGTGGTGCCAACTGGAACCCATGATGCCAGCCCCTTTCCTATATACGGCCTTGTGGCTGAGGCCTAAGAGTAAGGTGGGTGGCTCCTGGGAAGGGGTGGGGAATGGGGGTCACTCTGAGCTCCACTCTATCTGTGCCTCCATCATCTCCACCCAGCTGCTTCCTCGGCCCCTCACCACGTTCAAAACCCAATTCTAAGTCTCCCCAAATCTGAGCCTCGGAAGCCCTCACCCACTCCAGCAAGATGGCGCCAAGTCACCATCCATGCTGCCTCTTCCATGCTCAACTCCCATTGATTTTCTCCTGAAACATCACTGGACTTCCCCCTCCTGTCTAGAGTCCAGATCCCCAGCACTGGCCGAGACAAGGTCCCAGCTTCTCTCATCTGGATCATCACCCAGTCTCCTCTAAGGTATCCCCTTATCCACTCTACCCCCGCCCAGTTTCTTCTCTCACGACAGCCAGACAGATCTTTTAGAAATGCTGTCTACTTAAAGCTCTTCAGTGGCTGCCCACAGTGACTGACGAGGCCCCGTGTGGTCCAGTCCCCCACTAGACCCTTAGCCACACCAGCCTCTAGCAGTTCCTCCCAACAAACACAGTGATGTACCCTCCATGTGTAACAAGTCAACTCCCAGCCACCTTCAGTGGAAACTTCAATGACACCTCCTCCAGGAAGCCTGCCCAGTTTATAGCTCTCAGAGCCCCTGGCAACCTCCCCCTTGTCACAATTGTGATTTATCACTTGTGATTATTGGATTAATGTCCATCTCCCACACTGGACTAGGAGCACCATGAGAGCAGGGCCTTGGTGTGTGTGATCATGACCTTTAACATGACCCCCAACTACGATCCACCACTCTAAGGATGTTTTAAGGGATTTCAACGGTGATGTTGCCTCCATTGGAATCTCACCTCCCTTGTGGACTCCAGAACTTAATGGCCTACATATATTGTGGATCACTGCTGCAGAAATTTTAAGACAGAAAACTCCCCAGCAGAAGATAAAAATCACAGTACAGTGTGAATCACCACTCAGCTTGTGAATCTTGGGAAGGACACAGACCCCAGGTGTTGCCCTAGTGGGCCCAGCCCTTATTCCCAACCCACTGCCACCCCACCCTCGGCTGATCAGGAAACATTGTTTCCACAAAGATGTGTAAGGCAGCCAGGTGAGGTGGGCAGGAGTTTGACCTGCAAGAGTATCGACCTTTGAGCAATTCACGGAGATTGAGGGGTAGGGGCTGCAAAGTGCTTCCTGGAGACTTCTTCCACTGTCATTGGCTTTTAGGGCTTGGCTAGAAACAGGGCAGGGGCTGGAGTGAATGAATCAGAATACTAGGCTACATGTTTGTTAGGATCAAGGCTGCTCATGACTATTTCAGACTGAAACAGGTTACATAAACTGAACCTACAGCACAAAGAACTTCAGTTAGACCTAAGGAGGGACTTACGGTGGTGAAGGCCATGCAGCACTGAGTTTCCCAGGGAGACAGATGTACAGAATTCCACCTGGTCTTAAAATTAGGAACTTGAGGACTATCTCTACTTGCAAAACTGGTTAAGGGGAAGTTAACTTAAATCTTAGCACTAAGGACTTTAGTTGGATCCAAAGCAAAACCTCCAGAACTCAAAATGGCTAATAAGCAGAAGTCTGCCTGAGGTAGAGGAATGGGGCCCTAACGGTGCACCCCTCAGCATATGCCCCCATCCAGGGGAGATGTTTGTAAGCCAGGGGTCATTCCCCAGGGCCCCAATTAAGTGGGATAATTCATGTAAAGTACTCATCACGGTTCCTGATGTATGCTCAACACTCAATAAATGGTAGCTGTTATTATTTTTACCATCCTCATTATTGTCACTGTTTCACCACAGATGCCTGTCTCCCACATACCCAATACCCCAGGAGATTCTGAGCCCTTCACTCCCTCGCCTGTTTCTACAGAGAAGTCAGACCACCTTCCACTGCTCCAGCCCCTGTGTACTGGGAATCTGTGTCTTATGATTCACAGGTTTGTGTTAACAAGTTTCCACCCTAGTGACCACTGTCATGGTCACTGCTGAATCCGTGGTACTTTATAGCTTCCAAAGTGTTTTCATGTATGTGTTAGATAATAGCTAGTGGCAGGAAGGGAGACTCAGGGAAGTGGCAGAACTGGAACCAAGACTCAGGCTCCTGGGGACACTAAGTGCTTGCCCCACTGTGTCCACATGATGCTTGATGATTCCTTCCTAACCCAGCCCTTAGCATAGCCAAATCGCAGAGTCTAAACCTTTCCAAGGTCAACATGGCGACTCCAGTAGGCCTGAGTCCCCATCCCCACTCCCAATGAACACCTCAGAACGGCCAGCACTTCCTCCCCTAGAACTCCACAGGCTCTGACACTGCCCAGCCTGGGGACATGTGCTGTTTGGCTCACATGCTGTTGTTTGAAAAATCAAATTAGTTCCCAACAGTTGAAAACCAGGAGATATTCCACTGAAATGGGGATTTTAAAAGACATGGGAATATTGGGCTTGAATTCCTGCCTGGCTCAGTTGTCTCTGTAGATATAGGGTGTGGGCTCCCCAGGTTCCCACAGTCCCCATGGGAGCTCCTTCACTCATTCACATCACCTATATACATGCATGTACAGGCGGGGACCCAAATCATGTGAGTTCATGGACAAACATCTGCATATGGGTTTACCAACTCTAGTGATGTCACTAGAAGGGGGTACAGTTAAGCAATAGGAGAGGAGCCCAGGGAACAGGCAGAGCAAGGACACAGAAACTTGGAGGCCACAGAAAAAAGTTTGCACCTTCCAGAACTGCAGGAAACCAGGGCACACATCTGTTTACAGGTGCCAGCTAACTAACCCACTGCCATGGAGTAGATTCTGACTTACAGGGACCCTTTAGGACAGAGTAGAACTGCCCCACAGGGTTTCCAAGGCAATAAATGTTTAGTGAAGCAGACTGCCTCATTTTTCTCCTGCCAAGCGGTTGATGGGTTCAAATAGCTGATCTTTCAGTTAGCAGCTGAATGCTTTAACCACTATGCTACCAGAGCTCCTTGTGCCAGCTAACTTGTTGTTGTTGTTGTTATGTGCCACCAAGTCGGACCTAACTCATAGCGACCCCTCCTTGGGTTCCCAAGGCGGTATCACTATGGAAGTAGATTGCCCAACCTTCCTTCCGAGGAGTGGCTGGTGGGTTTGAACCGCCAGCCTTCTGGTTAGCAGTCAAGTGCCTTAGGCACTACGCTACCAGAGCTAACTTAACTAACTAGGTGCCCATATTTTGTCTCTCATATTTTGTTCTCTTTATCAGGAGGAACCAGTTCTGGAGAAGAATATCATGCTTGGTAAAGTAGAGGGCCATAGTTGGAATGACACTGTCTGCACAAGTAGCTGGCTCTGTGCCTGTCTGTATGTTCCCCAACCAGACCCTCTGTTATGGATTGATTTATGTCCCCCCAAAATATGTGTTGTAAACCTTAACCTCTAGGCCTATTCACTGTGTGGATCATAACAAATTATGGATAATATTGCGAGGAATGGGAATTTCAGAACACTTAATTGTGCTCATGTGGAACCTCTATACAGACCAAGAGGCAGTCATTCGAACAGAACAAGGGAATAATGCATAGTTGAAAATAAGGAAAGTTGTGCGGCAGGGCTATATCCTTTCCCCACACGTATTCAGTCTGTATGCTGAGCAAATAATCCGAGAAGCTGGACTATATTCTGAAGAAGAATGTGGCATCAGGATTGGAGGAAGAATCATTAACAATCTGTGATATGCTGATGACACAATCTTGCTTCCTGAAAGTGAAGAAGTCTTGAAGTAGTTACTCATGTAATCATGCCTTCACTGAAGCATGGATTACAGCTCAACATAACGAAAACAAAAATTCTCACAACTGGACTATTAAGCAACATCATGATAAATGGAGAAAAAGATTGAAGTTGTCAAGGATTTCACTTTACTTTGATCCACAATCAACGCCCACGGAAGCAGCAGTCAAGAAATCAAACAACGTATTGCACTGCATAAATCTGCCGCAAAAGACTTCTTTAAAGTGTTAAAGAGCAAAGATGCCACTTTGAAGACTAAAGTGCGCCTAACCCAAGCCATTGTCTTTTCAATTGTCTCATATGTGTGTGCAAGCTGGACAATGAATAGTGAAGACTGCAGAATCGATGCATTTCAGTTGTGGTGTTGGTGAAAAATACTGAATATACGACGGACTGCCAGAAGAACTGCCAGAAGGACTGCCAGAAGAACCAAAAGGCTAGCAGTTCAAACCCACCAGCTGCTCCGAGGGAGAAAAACAAGGCAGTCTGTTTCCATAAAAATCTGCAGCCTTGGAAACACTGTGGGGCAGTTCTACTCTGTCCTATAGGATTGCTATGAGTCAGAATTTACTCGATAGCAGTGGGTTTAGCCAGAAATGAACAAATCTGTGTTGGAAGAAGTACAGCCAGAATGCTCCTTAGAAGCAAGAATGGCCAGATTTCATCTTTCATATTTTGGTCATGTTATCAGAAGGAACCAGTCCTGGAGAAGAATATCATGCTTGGTAAAGTAGAGGGTCAGCAAAAAAGAGGAAGACCCTCAACGAGATGGGTTGGCACAGTGGCTGCAACAATGGGCTTAAGCATGGAACAGTTGTGAGCATGGCATGGGACTGGGCAGTGTTTTGTGCTGTTGTACACAGGGTCACCAACAACAACAACATGAGTAAGGTTAGAATCTCATTTGCGAATGGGTTGTCTGTGTTATGTTAATGAGGCAGGACTAGTGTCAGGTGTATCTTGAGTCAATCTCTTTTGAGACTTAAAAGAGAGACAGGAGATTAGAAGAGAAAGAGTGTAAAACAGAGGCCAAGCCACACAGAGCTCTTCAAGGATCCAGGAAGCAGAAACTGAAGAAACAAGGGCTTTCCTCCAGAGCCAGCACAGAGCCAAGCTCTGAATTCAGACTTCCAGCCTCCTAAACTGTGAGAAAAGATATTTCTGTTCGTTAAAGCCACGCACTATGGTATCTCTATTACAGCAGCACCAGATACCCGAGACACCCCAGAGTCCAGCTGGTCTAGAAAGTGCAGGGAGACGGGGTGGGGGTGGGTGTGCAATCATACTGGGCACATTTATTTTATTTAACTAACTAGCATCTTCACATGCCCCTCACATGGGGCCCAGCAGCCCTGAATCCTAATCCTCTAAGTCAGATTATTCTTTTGCCTGAGATGCTCCTTAAACCCCAAACGAAATCATAGGAGAGGGAGTTACAATGAACTATTAATATACACACAGATCTCTACCTGCCCAGCTTAACTGATAGGTTTTTGGACAAGAAATGGGGCATTAGATATGGATGTGGCCATGGCAGAGGATGACAGGGTAGCTGAGAAGGGAGGTGCATCAGCAACCAACTGAGCTGGAAATGGCTGCAGTATTCAGACCTCAGCTCAGAAAGGCCCAGGCCACACAGCACAAATGATGCTTTACAGGCCCTTGCTCTCTCATCTGCCCACCTCTTGTCTGAGTGGCTGCAGAAGGCACCTCCCTGCCTCCACGCTGCAGCCTCCACACCCTGACACAGTATCCCCCATGCCTCCTCCCGGTGCCCGCTCTCTACACTGCAACCTCTGGTTTGAGGGTGTAGCTCCTCTGTGGGTCTGCATCTAATTGGCCTTGGGGTCCTGAGCTCCCCTTCAAGTCCTTGAAAAAGTACTGTGGAAGAGCTGAGCAGAAAAAAGTGCATTTGGAGAGACTACATCCACACATACACATTCATACCCCTCCGGTGCCAACACGTCCCGATAGGTTTGCTGGTCCCCTCCCAGGCTGGCCTCATGCCTCCTACACAAACCTAGCCTGGCCCATGGCACATGTGTCCCCAGGCCAGTCCGCTCTACTAAGGTACACTCTGTTGCCTCCTTTCTCCATCCTGCCTTCCTCTTCCAAGCCCAGCATTGAGTGCCCTTCTTCACAAAATCCCTCATTCCCTGAACCTCCTGGGTCTCCTGCCTCACTAGGGCTCCAGCACAGGCCAGAGGCAAGGAGCTCAGGCTTTGAAGTCAAGCGGCTCAGCCCCACCAATCACTCTCAGTGTGGCTTCTAGCAAGAGTTCTACCCCATTGAGCCTCAGTTAGCATGTCTGTCAAATGGGCAAACGCTAGCCTGTTCTCTGCTCAGTTGGTCCAGGGATAAAATGCATCAATGCATACAAAGGCCTGCCTAGTCCTGAAATCTTCAGCTATGGTCCCCCCGTCCCAGGCCTGTCAGAGTGACCATGAGATGTCATAGCAGACAGTCATGATGGGCTGGGGAAAGCCGGCTCAGCCTCATTAGATAGACCCTGTTGGTTCCCCAAGTCAAAACTGCTGCTGAGACAGGCACGTAGCATCAGGGCACACGCAGCCTTGGCCCCGACAGGCTCTGCATCTTCCCTCCTCCTGTCATTTTTTGTGCCTGTCATTCAGTGAACTTGAAAAATCTCTGGCTTTTACAAAACAGAGCAGGGCCATTTTTTTTCCCCCTTCTCTCTTCTCCTCCATCTTCTTTCCCAAGCTCCCTGCTGAACTGGACCAGGAAAAAAAAAAAAAAAAGTTACAGCTGTGTCCTCCATGACGGCCCTTGTGAGAAGTCATTGTCAAAACTCACACTTATTTTGGTCGCATCCTTCCCTGTGTCTTCCTGCTGAGATGCTTGTACCTGTGGGAAGCGAGTGGTGCAGAGAGAGAAAGAGCAGAGACAAGGCGTTAGCGCGGTAAGGGATGGGGGGAAGGAACTGGAGGTGAGGATATTGACAACAGTAATTATCCATGTTACTAGATTACCTGTAGATTCTGGCACATGAAGCTCTGGGGGCTACGGGACCTGGATTGGGGTCTCTCGGCTATCTGTGTCCCCCCAGGGGATGGGGGAGTCAGCAAAGGAAGATGAAACCCAAACAACCAAGCCCACTGCCATCGCGTTGATCCCGACTCATAGCTACCCTACAGGACAGAGCAGAACTGCCCCATAGCGTTTCCAAGGCTGCAAATCTTTATGGAAGCAGACTTTCTCCTGCAGAGCAGCTGGTGGGTTTGAATTCCTGACCTTCTGGACAGCAGCCGAATGTGTGTGTGAAAAAGCACCCTTGCATATGCTGTGCAAAAAACTAAACCGTTGCCATAGTGTCGACTCTGACAGCAACCCTATAGGACAGAGTAGAACTACCCCACAGGATTTCCAAGGCTGAATCTTCACAGAAGCAGACTGCCACATCTTTCTCCCCCAGAGCAGCTGGTGGGTTTCAATCACCGATCTTTCAGTTAGCAGCTGAGTGCCTGACCACTGTGTCACCAGGGCTCCTTGTTTTGTGCCATTGAATCGATTCCAACTCATAGTGACCCCTGGTGACAGAGTAGAAGTACCCCGCAGGGTTTTCTAGGCTGTGGTGTCTACAGAAGCAGGTCACCATGTCTTTCTCCCGCAGAGCAGCTAGCAGGGTTTGGACAGCTAACCTTTCCGTTAGCAGCCGAGGGCTTAACTATTGTGCCACCAGTGCTCCTTGGTATAGGTTAGAAGCTATTTAATGAACATGCAGCGATGTGTGATATGTCAGTGTGTGTCTGTGGAGGTGTATAAATGTATGTGTTCATACGTGATATGTATATGTTTGCTTGTGTATTTGTATAAACACCTGTATAAGAACGCAGGTGGTCTTAGTTCAGTTTTACCCAGAAGACCTTGAGACAAAGATTCAAGTGTGAGTTATTTATTTGGGAGCAGACCCCAAGAAACACCAACAGAGGAGGAGGTGAGTGAGACAAAAAAAAGGAAAGGAGTTAATAATGGGGGTTGTTATTAAGCCATTTAGGAGCTCTGGTGGCCTAGTGCCTAAGGCTAACCAGAAGGCTGGCGGTTCAAACCCACCAGCCACTCCTGGGAAGGAAGATTGGGCAATCTATTTCCATAGTGATACCAGCTCAGAAACCCAAGGAGGGGTCGCTATGAGTCAGATCTGACTCGATGGCACATAACAACAACGGCACATAACAACAACAACATTAAGCCCATTACCATGGTGGGCAGGCTTGCTCCTTACTTGACTTCTACTGAAGCTCCTAGCACAGGCTTTAGTTCCTCCAGCTGAGGGTGCAGGGAGCTGGGCTGGTCATCCTCCACCTCCTGTCAGTCATTGGCTGAGGGCTGCTCCAGTGGCTGTCTCCCCAGTCCCTCCAGCCAGCCTTGCTGACCACAGCTCCATTGTTGAAAGAAAACCCTCAGGTGGAATCGCAGGGGTTGGCTGCTGGGACTTGGGCTGGTGGCCTGGGTGATGGGGCAGTGGGTGGGGCACAACAACATGGGCTAGAACTGTTGTGTACCTCTGAGCATGCATGTGTACAGACGTACGCGTGCAGTGACAGGTATGTTAGGAGTGTACACAGCAGGCAACAATACTGCCCATGTTTACAGAGCCCTTTACAAAACAACTGCTCTGGCCACTCGGAAAGCAAATCAGGAGACCCCCCGTCCCCAAACCAGGACCCAACAGCTACCTCTCTGCACTCGGTTCCCTGCCTGTACATCGAAGGGAGGAACCTGTGGTCTTTTGGGGGCCCTTCTTGTTCCAGCAATGCCAGGTGCTCAGCTGAGCTCTGTCTCCTGTTTCCACAAATAAGCCTCAATTTAGGGATGGTGACCTCAGCTTTCCATCACTTCAATCCCCTACCCCAGGAGGAGGAAGGGCAGGAGACAGCTGGGTGCTAGAGAGACAGACAGAGCTGAAGCCTGGATCCCTCCAAAGAGTGGAGAGATACCCCCACCAAGGGCATTACCTGGTTCGAGGCCCATGCCTGCTTGTCGGTCCAGTCCCTGTGGCTGCGTACGTACCACCACTGGATCTCCAGTGAGTAGGCGGGGGAGCCACTGCCCCGGAAGGAACAGGCCATCTCCACGTCCTCACCCATCCGTGCTGTCATGTCGTGGGGCGTCTCTGTGAACAGGGCTGTGTGGAGAAACGGGGAGGATGCCCAGGGCTTAGGAAACAGCAGGCAACACCAGCAGGAAAAGGACTGACGGGTGAGGAGAGGTAGAGGAAGCAGGAATGGCTGGCCTGCAGGGTGGAGGAGGAAAGGGTGGCCAAAGCAAAGGAGGCAGGGGAGCAAGTCCTGCAGGGGTGAACAGCCTGGCTTTGGGAGGGCACGGGGGAAGCTGGGCGAGGAGGGCGGGGTGGGGGGACAGAGGGTGTGTGCAGCAGCAGCTGACAGGAGAGAGGCGTGAAGAAGTAGACTAAGGCTCTGGGTAGCTTACCAGCGAGCGGGGCCTTTATCCAGGAGCCCATTGGACCAGGGGGGACTCTAGCAAGGGACTGATGGACCAGGGAGCAGGCTGGGACACCAGGGAGCAGGCTGGGACACCAGGGGTAGCAGGCGCCCCTACTCAGACTCCCTCCTGGATTATCCCAACCCCAGTGCACTGCAGTCAATGAGACCTTTGTAAAAACAAATCTGATCCCAACACTCCCCTGCTCAAATATATGGCCCCCCAACACACCTACAATAAAATCCAGACTCCTTTCTCAGGCCCTCGGCCCTGCCCATCTCTGCCTAACTTCTTTGCAGTCTGGGAACTCACTTTCCTACCTCAGTTTTGCCCTGGCTGTTCCCTTTGTCTGGAACTTTTTTTTCCTGTGTCCCCTCTCTGCCTGGTTGGCTCCTTCAAGTCACTCAAAACCCACTGCCAGCAAGTCGATTCTCACTCACGATGACCCCATGTGTTACAGAACAGAACTGCTGTGAAGGGCTTTCTTGGCTGTAACATTTTTTTAAAAAATTTTTATTGTGATTTAGGGTTTACAGAGCCAATTCATTTCCCATACAGCAGTTGATGCACATTTTGTTTCATAACGTTGACTGCAATTCCCCACGGTGTCACGGCTCTCTTCCCACTTCCTCCCTGCAGTTCTTCCTTATATCCACCCTCCCATGCACTGTTGCCCCCCCCCCAGCCGTCTCCCTGTGCAAACACTGCCCTTCTGTCTTCCCACGATTGATCACTCCAAGGAGTGTATCTACCTGATGTAAATGTTTACCCCATATGCCTGTCTATTGTTTGCTGGCAGCCACAGCACTGAGTTCAATTCCAGACCTGAACTGGCTGTAATCTTTATGTAAGTAGATTGCCAGGCCTTTCTGCACCGGTGCCATGGGTGGGTTCAAACCACCAACCTTTAGGTTAGGAGTCAGGTGTGAACAGTTTACACCACCTAACAACAACAAAACTCAGCTCAAACATCTCCCAGCAAAGAGGCCCTCCTTGACTACCCTGAGTAGGGCCTCCCCCATAACCCACATCATTCTGCCATCATTTGTTCATTGTGTTCATTGTCTCAGCCCCGTGGTGGTGGTGGTGGTGGTGGTGGTGGTAGGGTGAAGCACACAGCTCCTGGCGCACAGTAGGTGCTACCTGTGTGTTGAATGCATGGAGGATTCACCTTCCTCTTGGAGGAGGGTGGGTGTGATGGGAGCCACACCTGCTTCCTGTCCCCCCTTGTGGCCCAGTCCTCCTCCCCCCCCCCCCAGAGCAGGCTGAGAACAAGGGTTCCATGAGGGGTTCCCCTTTTCCAGCAAGGCAGTAAGGAGTCCCGCCCCCACCCTGCCGCCTCCCACTACACCACCAGGTAAATGAAAACACAAATCCCCATTTAATATGCCCCCCCACCACCCCTCGCTACCGTATGTTCTGTCTCTAGTCTCTCCAAACAAATATTGTCCTGAGATGTAATTAGAATTCTTTCCTCTTCTCAGGAGAGATTATCTCGCCCTGGAAAGACGCCGGCAACGCGCAGGTCACCGGGGAATGTTTCTCATCTCTCAGCACCGCCCCCCACCCCGCCCATCCTTCCTGTAGCAGCTGGCCCAGGCACCCTCACCCCGCCAGCGGTGAGGGGGGTGGGGCAAAAGACGCTCCACTTTGACCCCCCGCTGGTCCTCCTGTTCCCACTCAGATCCGGGCAGGAGGAAGAGAGAGACCACTGGGCGGGGAGCAGGGTCCTGAATTGAGCCCCTGCTCTGGGCCCACTGGCGCCACGGTACTGAGCGCTTTGGGAGATCAGAGATTGACAAGCCCCTGGGTCCAGAAGCTTCTGCGATTCTTGCTTCACACACCAGGTACCCATGTAGTTTTACTTGAGCATCGGCTTTCTGGGCTAAGAGGAAGTTGGAAACATCCCTCATCCCCAATGTCAAAGGTTTATAAAACGTTTCACGGAGGCTTCCCACATACTCAGACGGTTGGAAGGGACTGACCGCTGTTCAGTAAACAAAGCCTGTTTAATCAGAATGAATAGGCTTTAAGTTTTGATTGCGGGCCGGGTGTGATGTGAGATCTGTTTACCTATAGCCTACCTGAGAGATGGCCAGTGGGGCAGGGTGGGGAGACACAGTTTGGTCTGAGTGCAGAGGGCTGGGCAGGCACAGAAGAGGCATTATACCCAGCCTGAGGCAATTAAGGGAACCTTCCCAGAGAAGACTTGCCTCCTGCCTCAGCCCAGGCTGGGGAAGGCAGTCCTGAAGGGTTCTTCTCATCCTTCTGCCCTGCAAGGGGACAGAGAGCTTCTGGCTTCCAAGGCCTCCTGGGAACTGGGTGAGTTAGTTGTAGGTGTGACCACCGGCACCATCTCCCATAGCCAGACCTTGGCCCCAAGGGTCTCTCTGATCCCCTCAGGCCCTGCCAGGAGTGGACTGAGGGAGGCCTCTCAGAATCCTGGTGGCCCCAACCTCAGTGGCGAATAGGGCAATGTGTCCACAGGACAAGAGGGAAATCCAAGACCCTGGGCATTTGACGGTGGACCTGTCTCCTTGTTCACATCCAGAGACCTGAAGACTTGCCCCAGGCCCTGCCCCCAGGAGCTCCCAGAGGAGAAGCTAGAGTATGCAGGCAAGCACCAGAGGCCTGGACTGGGAGCCAGGGATGGAGGACTGACCTCTTTCTGCCAACTGACTTGCTATGCAACCTTGAGAGACCTTCCATAGTGATACCACCTTGGAAACCCAAGCAGGGGTCATTATGAGTGGGCTCGTTATGAGTCGGGTCCGACTCGACGGCACATAACAACAACAACATCTCTATGGAAGCAGATTGCCCAGTCTTCCTTCCAAGAAGTGGCTGGTGGATTCAAACCACCAGCCTTCTGGTTAGCAGTCAAATGCCTTAGGCACTACACCACCAGAGCTCCCCTAAAGATGGGAAACTCTAATTGGCAAGAGGTTCTTCCTCCTTCTCCTAACTGTGAGTGAGGACATGGCATCAGCACCAGAAACTGGAAGGTGATCCCCATGTATTTCAATAACAATGATGATGATGGTAAAAATAATAATCTCTGAGAAAAATAGAGTGCTTGTTATATGCCAAGAACTGTGCCAAGCACATTACATACATTGTCTTATGCTCCCACCACAATGCTATGGGGTAGGTGTGATCATTATTATCCCTTTTCTCAGATGAGGAAGTTGAGGTTCAGAGAGGTTAAGTGACTTATTCTAGGCCACACAGCAAGTAAGTAGTTGAAACTGAAGCCAGTTCTAGAGAACTGTAGAGTGGGAGTCTGGAATTTCTAGACTGTCCTCCTACAGCCCTTCTGCCTGGTCTCCCACCTGTTCAGCCTTCCCTCCAGCCAACGGACTTCCGGTGTCCATGTTAACATCAACGGTGAGCTGGGGCATAAAGTTCATTTTCTCTTTGACTTCCTCCCGCCCCTGAGCCGTCCCTCCTCACTCAGGTAACTCCACAGGCAGTCTCTGGAGAGGCCAGTATAATTAGAGATTTTTGAGAAAGATGCAATTGTGTTCTCCAGCCCCAGGGCCTGAGCAGGGCTGGGCTCTCTGAGAAAACAATTAAAACGGTGTCCACAAATTAGGATTCTGCATGAGGAGACAGGGGCTTGATTGAATGCCGAATCTTCTTCTTTTCTGCTTTTAATTGGGGGAGCGATGTATTAATTAACCCCAGGGCCGGCTATCAGGGCATCATTGCTGGGAACATCTCTGTGGCCCTGGCCTGAGTGCCTGAGTGTGGTTTCTGAAAAAGGCAGGGGCTGGCCTGGACGACTTGCCTGCCCGTCAAGACCAGAGGCCTGACTTCCTAACCTTCCTGAGCTTTGAAGGTTTTGCCTTCAGGTTTGAGTTTGAATCCTCTTTTCCCTATTCCCTAGCTGTGTGACCTAGGCAAGACTCTTACCAATCTGAGCTTCAGTTTCTTTATCTGAGAAAGGGGGAGAATGAGAGGACCGATGAGAGGATTAACATGGCAGCACACTCCCTGTGCCTGGCACATAATAGCTGCTTAAGAAATGCCACTCTCTTTTCTTACTGTCTAGCTCAAAATGTTTGCCATCCAAGAAAGGTTTTTAGAGATTCTTCTTTGTACTTTCAACAGACTACTGAGTGGGCATTAAAAAAAAAAAAAAGAAACCAAAACTCACTGTCATTGGGTTGGTTCTGACTCATAGCAACCCTTCCTTGGGTTTCCAAGGCGGTATCACCACGGAAGTAGATTGCCCAGTCTTCCTTCTGAGGAGTGGCTGGTGGGTTTGAATCATCAGCCTTCTGGTTAGCAGTCAAATGCCTTGGGCACTGCCACCAGAGCTCCTTAGCATTTGCATTTCACTCATGCCTGGGCTCTGCAACCTCTCATCCATCACCTGTACTCCTCAACAGGCTCACCCCACCCAGCAGCCAGGAGGGCCCAGCAGGTCAGAGAGGCTAGTTCACCAAAGGCAGTCCAGCACCCAGCTCCCTCCAGTTTGAGCTCACATTCCCCATCCCTGACCCACTGGTCCAGCCCCAAATCTCCTCTCTCCTTCAGTACAGCTCCCTCCCTCCCAATCTTCAAATACCTGGTTTGCAGCTGCCTCCTCCAGGTAGCCTGCAGGGATTGGCTCCCAGCCCATTCATGTCTCTCCCAGATAGAGATCAAAGCTCCCCTTAGGTACTGGTGGCAGGGGAA